CTCCAACCTTGCCATCGACCAGCCAATTCCTATAGAATCTCTGCCTCTCCTTGTTCCGCTGTTCTTCGTCTTCTGTCCAGGCTCGTTCTTCGAAGTATTTTTGTTGTCTAACTTTTCTCAGGATTTTTGGAATTTTTCTTTGCTCTTCTTCAAGGTCTATGTATTTACGTAGGAATTACGTGCACCTTAGTGAGCGCGCTAGGAATTTTGTTCGGCAGTTAGGAATTCTGGAATTTGTGGGCGCATTTTTCGCTGACGTGTCCTTTCTTGCATATGAGTTTCCCCAAATCAGTCTCGGGAGGCTCGATACACTTTCTGAAAAGATCTGAATAGGCGTAGAACTTCGTGCGTCTAAATTCTGGGTGCAGATATTGCTTCTGAAATTTCAAATCTTGAACTAGTTTTAGAGCTGGATTGGACGGAGCGTAACTGTTTCGGTGCCTTTTTGTTTCTGCGTCAGCGCCATGCATGCAAGCTTCCCCTGCCTTCCGCTGTATCCCAAGGCATATCTACCCTTCTTCTTCGCGCCTTCTTCCTTTAATCCACAATTGTTTTTCATCCCCTCTTCCTTCGCGCTTCTTTCTCCCTCTCTTCATCTGAATCTTGGTCCCGCTCCGCACCGCTCTTCGCCCCCTCCCCTTTCCCGCCTTTGTCCCCGTATAGGAAGTCCCTACCGATCCCTTTTCAGATCCTTCGGGTCATCAGACGATAGGCTGTCTTCTGATTGGCTGCCAAGAACTGGCGCGGAACGATATGCCTTTCCCCGGGCGATCAATCTTTCTCCCCTCCCCCCCCTTCTTCTACCCTTTCTCCTTCCCTCTCTCATGTCTTCTACTTCCCCCTCTGCAACTATAAAATCTGCAAGCGCGTCCGAAAAACTCTCTCTCAACCCATCTGCCAGCTTCAGGGAAGTAGTGGCTAGATGATGTGATGATCGACAAACTGAAAAGTCCTAACAAGCTGACTGTAGTTTCGCGAGACTGTGCGCTGGGTGGTCGCGAAGGACTGTGGGATCTGGGCAAGTCGATGTAGAAATTAAGTTGGCGGGGTGACAATCGCTGCGGTACGAAGGTTGGTACGTGGTGGCCAGGATCACCAGTGTCCGAGTAAGGAAGGTGTGTGTGTGAGCGTGGTTGCATGGCCTGGGGCCATGATATGAGAGCAGGAGGCTTGAGTGCCTTGCTCTTCGTTCTTCTCTTATTTTGGAAGCTAAGATCATGGGGAAACACCGATTTTCTTCAGATCTACTTGTGTGCTTGTACTTTGCCTTCTCCCTTAGTCCACTTCCTCGATCAAGCTATGGCTCCGTCAAAGCTCTCTCTCTCTCTCTCTCTCTCTCTCTCTCTCTCTCTCTCTCTCTCTCTCTGTAGATGAATGATTGGATGGTGAAACATTCTCCTTGCTTCTGTCTGCTTCTGAGTCCCCACCCCACTCGGTATAGATGAATGATTGGATGGTGAAACATTCTCCTTGCTTCTGTCTGCTTCTGAGTCCCCACCCCGCTCGTCTCTTTTAGTTCGATCGGATCTTGCAGGGACGAGCATCACCGAACTTGAGAGGCCAACGAGGTCACGTCACCTTGTTCATCTTCCCCCACTTCTTTCCAGTACAATGAACGTAATATGTTTTCGGTAACCATTGGTGTGCGCGTGATTCTCTGCCCCTACCCGATTTTGATGTTCGAAGTGTCGCCAGGCGAACTTAGTTGAACACAGAAACAGGTCGGGAGAGAAGCACCTCCTCGTATGCATTAGCTGATTGTTGTTTTGATGATCTAGGTATAACGAGACTTCGGTGTTATTTCCTTCTCATGTAGGATTGGCTCAGGCGTATTTTTGCTTCCTTTCTTCCCTCAATGGATGTTCAACACTTGCATTTTTTATCAGATTGAATGACGGATTTGCGTAGACCAACGTCACTAACTAACGCATGCCATGTGGACTGATCATACCGATCCCACTGTGCGCCGACTTCCTGTGCTCCCACAACGCCCATTCCCGTATAACGAGGAAAGACCACGTGTATGTGAGTGGGACGTATGAGAAGCCATCGCCAAGATCGAAGGACGTTATTATTTCCCCCCGGAAACGAGGTGCTCGGGGTTCATGGGTTCCACCTTATTCCTTATTATTGCCCTTCAACGAGTTGATTGTCATCCCGTGGATGGCAGTGGCACCCCATTGGCCCAATACTCTCTGCAGCGATTGTCCCGCACCGAGCGCTATCGGGAAAGGGGTTTCCACTACCGGACACGTGTCGAGGACGAGTTTAACGAAAGAGCGACCAGGTTGCGGCCTTCCATGCTGGATTTTGAGCTCTGCAGTGAGCGGCGACGGGACGTAATTTGAAAATGAGATCCCAAGTGCGTACCCCCGCCTTTTTGTTCGAAAAGACGTCAAGTAACTCCTAAGTTAGTTCGGAGATACTTTTTGGATTAGGTAGACGATTGAAAATTGTGCGCGCCCATTTCCTTTCCCGCACGGTGATGGCCATTTCTCGCTAAAACTGGGACCACACGGGATATTTCAGTTCTGTCTGTGTCTCCACACTCAATTTTCCAACAATCCTTGGCACACCCCATCTTGCTGTTCTTTCAAGGCCTTTTCCACATTTTAATCACTCCGACCGGAAGACAGCACAGGGCGTGAGGTTAGAACGTCACATGCAACCGCTTGATAGTCTCCACCTCCTCTTCCTGCCAAAGCCACGGAAAATATACATCCGATTCATGGCACAGCCGCCTTATGGCCTCTGAATGCATCCGATACATGATGAAGAGGTCCATTCAAAAGGGGCAACAGATTCACAAATGTAATATGGGAAGGGGGGAAAGAGGGGGCATTCATGTACCCCAGTGCAATGACTTGCTGGTTTCTGGTCGTTTGTAGCCTCTCTCTTGTCGAGGCTGTACCATCTGTAGGTTAGATTCGTAATTTTGTTTGGCTGAGGGCTAACCGAGAGACCTGCCTGTAAGGAAATTCGTTAGGGACATATCTGCAAATTTGGGGAAATATAGGCCTGTACTAACTAGAATTCTTACAGCTACCCTAACTGCGAATAGCAGGCCCGGGCTACCCCTAGGACAGACAGGCCCTAAGGTCCTAAGCTGATAGACGGTCCTATAGCCTATAGCTGGGTTGGGACCTCCCCTAGAGGCCGAAACAGAAACAGTACCAGTCGGTCAGTCAGTCCGGTCTAGGTCAAGTCTAGGCTAGAGTAGACCATAGATAGGTTGGGGGCATCGGTTCAGGGCTTTTGGCAGTTGGTACCGTGTACATCGGGGCTGTGCAACGCGTGAACTGGAAGTGGTGACGGCTCAGCGTTGAGGGAGACAGACATAGCCAGACCTCCGGAGTGCCGTCCATAGCTGTACTCTGTCAGCACGCGGGGCTGTACAGAGGTCTGGGCTATTCGAGGTCTGCTGGAGGCGAGAGAAGTTGGTGCCCTGCTGGACCCTCCTCCGGAGTAGGGTTACAGGGTTGTGGCGCTGCAGCCATAGCTGCATCTTATCAGGAGTGGTGGCGCTGCTGCGACTTCCACCCGGGAAGTCTTCCGACACTTTGTCATCATCAGATACTGTAGCGCTGGTCTTCTTCTTCATCCTCTGAGTGGCGCTTGGCCTCAGAGGCCTGTTTCAGGGCGGCGCTTCCCTCTGGAGGCCGTATCTGGATGGCGCTTGATGTTTCAAGGACTCAGGGGTAGTAATAGCGGTTCATCAGGGTTGGAGAGTGAAGCGCTGCTCATTTCTGAGCAGCGCATCATAGTTCTGAGGTTATCCTGACAATTCGAGACTCTGAGTTTAATAAACAGTGTTGATACTGTGTTCAGACTATCATCGTTGCATTGTTCCTTGGATGTGATCTACTCGGCTTTCCTTTACGACTGGTTGTGAGGATTGAGTGGAGTGAATTGCACTTTCAGTGTACCGTGTCATATCGCATGGTCAAGTCTTCCGCCGAGTTTTATCTCTCCCTGTGCGGTGTGATACTCCTATCCTCTCCTCTCCCCTTCCTTCTGTGTATGTATGGGCATACCTGGGAGTCTATGCGAGTGAGTGTTGGTCTTCAGACAACAAACAACCATAATCATAACACCAGATTACTTTCCCCACTTGAACATCCTGAGCATCCCTCCCTAACCCTGTAGTGTAGTCTGTCCCAGTGTAATCAGTGGAGCGATGATCTAAAGTACACCCTTTTTTCTCAAAAAAAGGTGATGGCCTTGAGATATCATCATCGAAGTGACCGGCCTCTGATAATTCAGGAGTCCTCGTTCCATTCATCTAGGTCCATAAGGATTCAAACTTCGGTCTGTATTTCACCGGTTCATGGGTGTACCAACTGCGCTAAGCTTGTCGGTATGTGTGAGAACGTCCTCGCAACGACGAGGAGTCCATCTTTGCCATAGCCGCAGCTTCCCAATCCCCAAAGTCACGAAGAAAAATATATAATTCATGGTGCAGCCACCTAATGGCCTGTCTCCATAAATAGACGCGTACCAGCGAGTTGATTGCGGTGAATTCGCTGTCCCCCTGTCTCCCTGTTGTGACTGTGGAACACATCATGATATGCATGTGGGACACATCAGGTCACACATGAAGTCATATTGTCATGACGCCCGGCAACAGTGCGTGACTCACCGCGAGAGACATCACGACAGGACGGAGCTGAGGAGATGTCCTTTAAGTACAAGGAAGTGGAGAACCGATGAATGACTGTACCCCACGGCCTGCCCCTCCCGTTCATCACACACACACACACACACACACACACACACACACACACACACACACACACACACACACACACACACACACACACACACACAGCAGAAAAAGAAACGAAGAAAAGGAGAACCAATGACATAAATTTCCCCATGGTTTGATGAATGATTGTACGTCACGGCCTGCCTCCCGTCCACCAACACACACACACACACACACACACACACACACAGCAAAAAAAGAAGGAAGAAAAGGAGAACCAATGACATAAACTTACCCATGGTGTTGGCTGAACTCCCTGGCTGAGTTTGTGGCCTTCTGGAACGACGAATCACATCCAAAACCCTGCTCTCGTCCTGCACTCAATTTCTGTGAGTTGTCCTGATGCATAAGACCACAAATGCATTCCATAGAACATGTTAGGTTTTAATACTTGGTTCTTGGATTCTGTCCTACGCAGAGTTAGTAAGGACTCGTCACTTGACCAAAAGAATAGAGTGAAAGAGAGTCTAGAGGAATTTTTTGCTGTAAACAGGGAAGGAGCAGTAGATACATCCTTGCTGGAACAGGAAGCAATCAATGCTATCTCATGGTTCCTCGACCTGTGCAGCTTTGCCTGTGTCAAATAGGAGTTTGAATGATGACACAATCATTGTGATGCATGCCTATCGAGAGATAGGCTATGCGCAAACCCAAGAATCACCACATGAAGAAAGGCATGCATACAAGGGAGATATGATACAAGAACAAAACAGCAGAATAATCAAAAATAGCAATCTGACTCGTTAGACCTGAGATGCATCACACACACACACATACATCATCACCATCATCATCATCATCATCATCATCATCATCATCATCATCATCATCATGGCAAGATGTAAGGAGGGAGAACATACGTAGATGAAAGGTCCCTCCTCGGGCACACACATGAGGAAAGAAGCATGGATGATGGAGGTGCAAGGAATATGAGTGTGAACGATATACAGAAAACCAATGTTGCGAAATCACACAGATGTCCAGGTAGTCGTATCCAAGCAGAGAGTACAAAATGCACCGAGAAACCATCCATATAGAGCAATACAATGAATTAATGAGCCAATGTTCAAGCCCGTAGGCCACACCAACACAGTATCCAAAGTCGCTCCTCTCTGTCTGGCGCCCAGCGCCCAACCTACTCTGCCCGACTATCCTACCTACAGCTGGTTCACGCAACAGGCTCACTTCGACTCTCGAAGACCAATGTACATGACTGTCAACTCCATAGCCGACCTCTCTTCATGCACCAGGTACATATCTCGTCACCCTCAATCAGACCTTGATTACCCCACACTGCGCCTCCTTCCCTGAAGACCACCAGATCACCCGCTGTACCCCCTGGCGCCCAGCAGCCCGGCTATGGCCGCCTGCGCCCCGCTGCCCTGCAGTGCCCCACTTCACCACTACGCGCTCCGTCAGTGCCCTTGGCAGCAGCACAGCATCAAGCGATAGTGCAGCAGCACTTACGCATTGCCTGCACTGACCAGAATGCCTGGCCTGGACTGCCCTACTCCTTTTGTGTAAGTGGCAGCCTCCTGGATGCTGCATGTGGCCTGGCTGGAAGATTCCAGTAGCTTCCGGTTGGGCCTCAGACCCTGTGCCCAGGCCCGAGACTACAGTTGAGGGCCTGGGCCCGTTACAGTTGCGCACGGCCTGAGTCTCCGGACTTGGGCTGTTTGCTGCATCTGTGCAGGGCTCCCACGCAGGTGCGTCGGCAGTACTGCTTTTGCAAAGGCTGATGGCCTGCTTCCCAATGTATCAGCCTTGCTTTGTGTGTATGTGCCCAGGCGCAACTGTCAAGGCCTGGGCCAACTGTATGACGCAGCTTTGTCAGGCTCACGCGTCTATCCAACCAACTGGCGTGCTGCGAGAGCCTGAATACCCACATAGGGAAATGTCGAATTTTGCCTCTGATGAATATTCAGGCCCGCCTTCACTTAGGGCGGGCACTCGGCTTGCTGGGGGCCTTAGCCCAGATCATGTGATGTCTGATAGGGCCCCTTGAGGGCTTTTTTCTCACAGTGGTGGCAGATGGAGACAAAATGTAAGGGGGGGGAACCAGAAGAAGAGAGTGACCACACCCAGCCCATATAATACTGCACCCAGCAAATACAGTATGCCACCCAAGCGGACATAGTACTGGACCCATTTCGGACATGGTACTCCACGAAGCCCACATTGCACCACACGTAGTACCACACCACAATCACGTAGTCCTGCACCCAGACCACAGCCCATTGCACCCAATCCACGGTCGACCGAACCCCAGCCCAAAACCCACCACAGCCAGCCCGCTTCCCACAGCCCACAGCCCACAGCCCACAGCCCACCGCCCACCACCACTTCGCTTCATTTTCTGCCTCCTACAATCGCCTTATCCCGAAAAAAGTTCCGAATACAATCTCCTCGTGCTTGCCATGGGATGCACCCTATCCAATGGTGCATTCTTAATTATCCCAGACATCGTCCCAAAGTCCACAGCCCTAAGGCATAGTACTGCACCCAACCCACATAGTCTGCACACAGCGCTCGTAGGACTGCAACCAACCAGCCAACCTAGTACCACACCAAGCTCACATACTGCTGCACCCAGTTCACCTAGAGTCACACCCAGCCCACTTAGTACTGCACCCAACCCACAAAGTACCACACCTGACCCACATAGTACCACCCCCAACCCACATAGTATCACACCCAGCCCACATAGGACTGGACCCAGCTCATGCAGTACCACAACCGGCCCACACAGTACCATACCCGACCCACATAGTACCCTGCCCAACCTGCATAGTACCGCACCCAACACCCAATGGATGAAGTAACACACTCAACCCACATAGTCCCACACCCAGCCCACATAATACAACACCTCACCCACATACTATCATACCCAGCCCACATACTAACACACCAACCCACATAGTACCACACCCAACCCACGTAGAACCACACCCAGCCCATAATACCCCATATAGTACCACACAGCCCACGTATTTCCATACCCAACCCATATGCTACCACACCCAGCCCACACACCATGACCACATAGCACTACATAGAGCCTACATAGTACAACACCCAACCAACATAGCACTATACCCAGCGAACATTGTACCACACCCAGCCAACATTAGTACCATACCCAGCCAGCAATGTACCAAACCCAGCCATCACAGTACCACATCTGGCTAACGTAGTATTGCACCCACCCAAATCGTACTGCACCCAGCCCATGTAGTATGACATACATATTATCGCTCACAGTTCACATAGCACCACATACAGCCCATACAGTGTTGGACGGAACGCACAAGCTGTCCTAGCCCGAATACTAGTGTACCAAGCCTACATAGTGCAGTCCTCACAGCCTAATGCACCCGCCTTACCTAGTATCATACCCAGCCGACATAGTACCGATATCAGCCCACATAGTGCCGCACCAAACCCAAATAGTACCACGGCCAGCTAATATAGTACCACGTCCAGCCCACATAGCACTACACCCATCCCACACAATGCCATACCCAGCCCACATAGAACTGCACTTGGCAGATGCAATACGGCACCCAGCACATATAGGACCAACCCCAGCCCACTCAGCACCACATCCAGCCCACATAGTGCTACACCAGACCACATAGTATTGCACACAGCCCACATTGTACTGTACCTAGCCCACATAGAACTGCACTCGGCATATGCAATACGACAGCCAGCACACACATAGAACCAACCCCGGCCCAGATAGTACGACACCCAGCCCACACAGTACCACATCCAGCCCACATAGTGCTACACGAGACCACATAGTATTGCACGCAGCCCACATGGTGCTGTACCCAGCCCACATCATACCTCACCAAGTGCACATAGTACTGCACTCAGCCCACAGCCGGCTGCACACAGCCCACAGCCCACCACACCCAGCACCGCCCACCCTATACGCTCCACAGGCCACTGTACCCAGCCCGCTGTACCCACCATACCCAGCCCACAGCCCACAACCCACAGCCCACCACACCCAACACACAGCCCACCCCACCCAGCCCACATTTTGCTGCACCCAGCCATGTTGTACCACACCCAGCCGACAGAATCTTGCACCCAACCCAGATCCCACTGCACCCACTCGAATGGCAAGCCTGTAATGAAATCAGACTCGTTATCTTCTCCACTTCGCATGCATGTAAACAGCTGGCAAATCTCACTGGCGCTGGGTGCCCTCACAACTCAGATACCATTTTGCTTTAGATTGGCTATGGATTCTGAGTACCTTCACTCCATACATCAACTCAGTATTTACATCAATTGTTCACACACACTTAACCCCGGATCTCCCTGGATATCCCACGCACCCTGCCTCTGTACCTCACACACGCTTACGTACACACTAGATGACCCGTTGCGGCTTCGCCCGCAAAAACAGAAAAAGAAAAAAGCACAAAAGAAAGAAAACGCATAAGGAACTGCCCTATCATATGCCGCTTCTTTCACAATAAGAAAAAGAAGAGCCTGAGAGCAGACGAAAACCCGCATGCAAGAAAATAGGGAATACCACCGAACATTCTTTTTTCTTTATCTTTGCGTGTTTTGTTTGGGGAGCCGTTACCTTTGCAGCATCGTTTTTGTTTTGTGCTGTGC